ATATATATATATATATATATATATATAAGTCTTTGGGGAAAGCATCGATAGCAGCCTCACCCTCAGCTATGACAGCAAGGCAGCTTTCCATCACCCTCACTAAACCTGATCTAAAAGCTGCTAAAATCTTCTGGGTGGTGGGCAGGGCACGAGCCAGGTCCCCAGCCTCCAGTGCCACCGACAGCCCTTTTGTGCTGGAAAACGCAGGTGGGCAAAGTATAAAACCTTCTCTTATGCAACGTTTGAATGAAAAAGTCCTCAAAATGACAGCCCTGGTTTCATTATTGCCAGTGAGTGGGACGGACACTGCCACTGTTTCCAGAAAACCTTCAGGGAGCTGCAGTTTCATCAGCTGAGCTGGGAATTCACTACCTTCTTCACGCAAACTTATCCTGTCTGTTTCTTTTTATGAGAAAGTAAAGTTAATACTGACCTAAATATACATTCAACCTATGAATTAGAAGTGAAACGCCAATTGCCCAGCCCCTTCTCCCCTGCTCCAGGAATTCTTTCGAAGATAAGTAAAAAACAGTGGACCTAAATATTTATTTTTAGAGGCTGTACACTGCAAAAGCTTTGACATTACGAGCCAAATCAACTGAACTTCAAATCAAGCGTTCCTTCTTAAAACATACTCGTTTCCAATAAACTGTTTCACAAGCAAACATTGCGAGTGTAATAGCAAATAACGATGCCCATGGAACAATGGGATCTTTTATACAGTCCAATATATTTGGCACGCGGCAAACATCTACTGGGAATTTATTCACAGAGGCTACGCTGGCAGCATACTACAAAGCAGCAGTCTTATTTTACTTGTGGCAAAAGTGCATTCGTGTTGCAGTTGTTAAATTATTCCATGGCTACGTGTGTCATTTTCGAAGATCTAGGAACAGCTTAATATTTTTTAAATTTGTAAATTAGCATAGAACATACAAATTACTATTTTACAGTTCTGGAGAGAACTTTTAGTTTCTCACCTTATACTAAATAAGCTCTAATTCCATCTCTGTCGCTCCTTCATTTGGGTACAAAAACAGCAAGCAAAAACCTCTCTTTAATAGAAACCTTACACCATCTTCCAAAACTTATTACAGCTGCCTTCAGTATAAAATGAAACCTTAGAGAATGTTATTTAAAATGTTTTTTAGAAGTCAGTAGGCCTCATGTTTCATTTCTCCACATCAGGGTTTGATTTCCTTTGTGACCTTATTCTCTGCCCTTAAACAAACCAGAGAACGAGGCCTGAAACATCTTGGAAAAGTTCCTACTATGCCAGCATCAACACATGAAACGTGTTTAGTTTATCCCGATAGCCATCAACGATTTAATCTTTTATTGATGACTGTCAAACATTTCCTCTACCAAAAAAGAGGAGGCAAAGCAAAGAAGTAAAAGCAAAGTTTTTACATTCTTCGTCTCAAATTCCTTTAAAAAAAAAAAAATAAAGTGTATGCATATGTATAGTAAGACATTTGTGAAATTTCTTCTCTAAGGGTAAACATGTTAAAAACAAACTTAGCTGCCCTGCGACACATGCAGCAGTGATTAGTGTTCATCAACTCCTCCACTTCAGCAGAAGGCAGTACTCCTGTGCCCATACAGGCATTCACAGAAGAGCATAACCATCACGACACAAATGGACTTCATGACAATCCCGGAGTCCAAGGACCACAAGAAATACAGTATAACTATGGAGAAACTTGCACTAATTGCAAATGACAAAGTATAATTCTGTACAGTATCATTTCTTGGGAATAGTGATTTCAGGATGTTATCCTGTCTTCCCTATTTCTCTGCAAACCACACACATCTAAGCATGTGCTTAAGCACAGGTACTGTCAAAACCATATTCATAAATCTGACATCACTATTTGGCATTTAAAACACAAGCCGTACATTTGTAAGCAGATATCATCACTCCAACAACTGGCTACACTAATATTAGATGGAAATGGTGTGTTCTTTTTTACTAAAGACTAGCAAAAGAATCAAAGTTGCCTTTCCAAAAAAAAACAAACATTAGCCTTATACAATCTTATAACTAGAACCAGCATCATCGCTAAACTATAGTGATTATATACCTCTCTAGTTATTTAACTCAGACAAACAATATTTTCATACCATTACTGATGGTAATCAGTCTCATAGCTCTGTAGCCCTACCGATTTCAGTATTTTCCTTGCTCATTAATATTGAATCGAATCAGAATCTCAAGAAATAAACCTTTGCTACCTGATCACTGAAATTTCAGTGTTCCACTCTCACTGCAAACACAACGTTTCAAAAACAAGTCAGTAGCATATGTTATAACACCCCATAGATTAGCTGTCTTCAAGTGTACTAAACAGTACATTATAAAGATCATAAAAAGTAGTAGATACTAATTTTATTACCATACATATTAGTTGCTTAGTGAACTACCTATAGATCCACAAAGTTTTTCATGGATAAGCCCTGCTTTCTCAAACAAATCTTCCTGGTTCAACTGAAACGTAATAGATGTTTAAAAGCTAATGCAACGGATGGTTAAAAATTTTTTAAATTGAAAAATGTTTTCTGTATTTTGATCTGAAAGTAATTGAGCCAAATTGACAACTATGTGTAAGTCTCCACATGTTAATTTCATTTTTATTCTAGTTCTTCCCAAAGTCTAACTTTATAATACATTTTAAAGAGAAAGCACGCTTAATGATGGATCCCACCTCAAGAGACCAGCTTGATTTCCCCAACTTGCAGTTTAGAAACAGAACCAACATCATCCCCATTTGAGGAGTCAATTATCTACAAAAGGCAGAGTGAAAATGATTGCTCACATCGCATTGAAGGCTACAAGCATCGAAATTTTACACCACCATAATAAAAATGCCTGAGGCTTGAGCATTTCTGCTCAGGATTGCTTGAGCAATTTTGCTTATCTATAGACAAACAGACTCGCTATCTGAGAAGACAACCGACGAAGAGACCTGCCCAATGGCTTAGAAGAAACTGTCATTCAGCCTGTTAATGTGAAAACTTCAAAATACCTTCCTCCAAGTGAGAAAACTGCAAAGAATCCAGGAAAGTTGGAAAATTCCAAGTTTCCTAAAAACCGGCACAATGGAAGGAGTTGCCCAGGAAGGTCCCAGCCCTGCAGGACACCTGGAGATGGATGGGAGGCCATCCTGCCACAGATGACAGAGGGAGAAGTGACTGGAAGGACTATCCTGGAAATGACTACTGGAGCCCACACGCTTACTAAGGCTCTTTAAGAAGTTTAAGACCCTGGACAGGTGGTTCCTACAGAAGGGCTTCATCTCTCTCTCACCCTTGGCTTTATGTCCTCCAATTTTTTTTTTTGCTAACCAGCTGCAGTCAACACCAAGGGAAACTGGAGAGGAGAGGGACAGGAAAGACACGATGCAAACGTACAAGATGAAGACACTAGGGTATGGAGGTGGGCAATAGGGGCCAAACCCCAAGTTTCACAGCCAACAGAGCCCAGAAGATGCGATCCCACCACGCCGGTCCTAGCGCAGGGGGTGCAGGGATGGAAAAACTGCGGGAAGAGAGGCTGCTCGCCAAGCGGAGGGAAGATGTAGGGCAGGATTTGCTGTTGCCAGAGGCTGAAGTAGAGCGCATTGTGAGTGAAAGAGCAGCTCTGCCGCTCCCGGAGCGCCTTGGCAGGGAGAGGGGACAATAACCGCGGAAGGGGTGAGCTCCAGGGCCCATCCCCAGGCCAAGTCTCCTTAGCAACCTGGCTGTGCCAGGGGCTGAGAAGAGCTCTGGGAATTGTCTCTCCAAGCCTCCTTGTCACCCTAGCACAGACAGTTCAGGACCTTTCATGGGAGCTAAAAGCCAGAACCAAAGCTCATTGAAGTCAGGGGAAAAAACTCACATGGAATTCAATGGGCTTTGGATAGGGCACTTGATTCATTTAAAAAAAAAAGAAAATGAAAACTACTCTTATTTTCTCCTTTTCAATGTGCTCGTTTCCTCTTCTTGCAAATGTGTGATTCAAGTGCAGGCTAGGAAAAAAAAAGCTGAATAGCGAATGCAAGACCAAACACGAGTCCTGGGGACAAGGGAGGGATCCTCAAATAAGGGGTGGGGGGGAGAGGAGGAAAGAAAAAAGTGATCTGATTCTT